TTGTATTGCCTCCTTTCTTTCAAAAAAAATTTTTTTTTTTTTAATCACTCTACGTTACTGGTCCCGTGATAAGTTCGTAAAGAACTTGTGTTACAGGTACCAGATAACAGATATAAATGTAAGATTTTTATTATACACATACATATATTTAATATACATCCATAACCCTGGAAAAGACATTTATATTTATCATACAAATATCTTCCCTTGGCGGGATTCGAACCCGCGACCCTCTTGTGTAGTGACCATGTCACTTACCACTACACCAGACGGCCGTTATATAAATATCCTTCAAGATTAGGAACGTTTGGTAACCTCATGTTAAAAGCATGAAAACATAAATTATAATAAACCGGGGTGTGTCAATGTTGCGTCCGAACCTCGAAATGTATTAAACCACAGAGATTGACTGCCCTATACAGATGAAGCGTGACGCATTAGCTAATAGTGAAACCAAATATTATCGATGAAATCAATAGTGACATAATGAAAAAATAGCTGTGTTAATATTATAATTTTTATTATTGCTTAGGTGGGTAGACGTGTTGACAGCCTACCTGGTGGTAGTGGAAATATAGTTTATAACCTGGTTTAATATATAACCGGGAGCCATTAAGCAGGCCGAATGCAGGCAGCATTGGAGGAAGCTGGTGCAAAAACTGGACCAAGGTGGTCACGACCCTCAGTAATGAGGAAACGACAGAGAAGAAGAAGAAGAAGAATATATAGAACCATTTTACCATAGTCAATGACATCGGCCGGGCAATGTCAAATGTATCTGCTATAATAAATAAGACAGCGTGTTTGCTGGTTCATGATTTTACTTACCAAGAGATCTATTAATCATCACAATCATCATCAAAAGACAAATCAACTTGTGGTTTGTGGACCAGGGAAGCAAATCTTGGTATCTGGAAAACGCAACGAATTTCGTTGTTGAATTTTGAAGGCAAATAATTTAGATATTTCTAAAATCTTGTCTATGCAAAATTACCTTTTTGATTGATGATTTTTGCCAACGCAGTCTTATAAGTATTACGACTAAAATGGATTTTCACCCAAACCATTGCCATTGACAAGCACAGTGTCAATCAAGTAAGAAAACAAAACTATAATATAATACATATCATGTTTCGTAAATTCATACCAATGCAAATAAGTCAATATTATATGTAGGTATTTTTACGGGTGGTAGTACCTCTTGTGAGTCCGCACGGGTAGGTACCACCGCCCCGCCTATTTCTGCCGTGAAGCAGTAATGCGTTTCGGTTTGAAGGGTGGGGTAGCCGTTGTGACTATACAGAGACCTTAGAACTATATCTCAAGGTGTGTGGCGCATTTACATAAAAAAATTAAATAATCGAAACTGAACAAGCAAATCGCAGGATAAATTTCACGTAAGCCTAATCAGTATTTATTCTTCCTATAGCTGATAGATTAAGCTCATATTTTAACGTTTATGAAAATGTTATAACTTTAAAGTAAGTACAACACTATAGATACCTAATAAGTCTGTAAGTGTTGTCGGCCAACATTGGCGCTATTGTTAACGACTGCGACCGCGTCTGTTTGGCACATCCCCTCGTAAAAGATTACATTGTAATAAGAGTGCTATTAAAAAGCGTATCATTTTGTACAATATATCTAACAAGGATTAATCTGGGTTTTTTGTAGCTGTTCCAATTTGTTCCATATATTGTTTGGAAATATTGTTAAATTTTTCCATCACAATTTTTAGGATCGCTATATAGGTAAATAATCACATACACGTAGTAAATTATCTCATTTTTATTACTAAAGTAGTTAGATTAATATGCTTATTGTATTGAAATATTCGTCACAATTATCTATATATAAATAGAAAAAAAAACCAGACAAGTTTTCCTCCTCTCTTTTAAGCTATTTTCTTTTTTTCTTTAGTAGCTACAAGCATAATGTTATCAATAAAAATGTTAATAATTAAAGTGAGAAGATAATGCATAAAATGAATCAAATCTTAAAGTGTCAGTGATTAGGGTAAAATTACGAACATATGTTAAAATTAACATGTTTTCAAGAAGCGCCTAATCTATATACTTTGAAGTCGACGGAGCACAAAGAATAACATGTCCGGTGTACTAGTATCGATCGAACCGATATTAGTGATAATTACAACCCACAGTCTGGTATCAATCATTATAATGAGATACGTACTTAACCTATTCTTACATATTACTACAATTATGAAGGAGTAATATTGTGTAATAAAAAGCAACGCCTTAAAATTACAATTTTCGTAATTAACGGTGGCATGTACCACCACCCTACAACCATATCTACTGCGAAGCTGTAATGCGTTTCCGTTCGAAGGATGGGAGGACTTAGACCCTAATGTCTCAAAGTGGATGATGGCATACAGTTCTGGTGTCTACGGGCCTCAGTAGCTGATTAATACACTATGGTTTTGAATTTTGTCTCAATAAACTTAATCTAACACCACTTAAAACAGTACATTGTGTATCACCTTTGATCCTCTTATCGTGAAGATGATCGCCAGACATCAAGATACTTTTAGTTTCGTTATAAAATATGTGATGTGAAACCTAAAAAAGTCTAGAAATTATTTTTTGGAACGAAGTTACTTATCGCGCGTTGTGAAAGGGGGCTAGACGGAAAAAACTCTTACGAAAAGTTGTCACGACACTTTTTAGATCCGTTATTCTGACCAATCAACGTGTAGGCGCTTATCGCGTGACATTGCTCATATCCGATTGGTCCGCGTAATGAGTACAGTTTCTCGAGATAGCGTTTCAACAATAGTAATTTAGTTCATAGTATTGTTTTTTTCTTCTTCATAATGCCGTAATTTATTATTATAACTTAAAAAAAAATTACAATTCCTTCACTAATTAATCGAACTTCGTTCCATCCGGGTGTCCCTTGACATCTCTCAAGTTTTTTATTATAGATATGTGACGGTAGTTACCGCATTATTATATTGGACAAACAACATCTGAGTCCTTCGTGACCACGAAAACTGTGAACCTTCCGAAACGTGGGATATAACGTCATTGTAATGACAATAAATAACGCGAGGTTTTAAAACGTAAAAGTAAACAAAAAACAGAATGGATTGAATAAAAGATAATGAAAAGTGTGTTGAATTTTTCCATGTGATTCTTTAATTTTGAGAAATGAAAAAAAAACGCTATTATTTTCATACATTTATTTTTATAAAAATGCATCAAGATCACTGGTTATATTAAACATTCAACATCGTATTAAGCTTACAGACGTCGATTCAAGCATTACAACAAAAGCGTTTTATGCTGCATTTGCCTAATAATACGTTCTTGAATTATATTTTCGTCAAAACATACTTATTTAACATAATGTATTTCCAGTATTCAGAACTTCGTAAATATAATTAAAAGGCAGACCTACGGTATAATATTTGTAGTTTGCCGTCAGCACAAAAACTACATTCGCAACGTTGGGTTACGAAATAAACAAATGCCTTAATTAATCATTTTTTACTTGTGTCGTAGAAATATTATTTCATAACTCCATATATTGACATTTAAAACAACAATTTATATATTTCCGTATTCAAATAGATAATTCTGAGCATTCCTATTTCATCATTAATAAATTTTATATGCTTTTCAATTTATATGCTTTTGAACAGTTTTAAATAAATACCAGTTGGCTTTGCTTAAGTAATAGTGAAATACCTTCATTCAAGTACAAAATAGCATTTTCAAACTAACGATTAAATTCGAAATCGATTTTATTATATTTCTCGATTTATAAATATTTTGTTTTAATTTATTCTAAATAAGCTTTATTACAATACAATAACGGTAGTCTTATTGAGAAAAAATCATTATTAACTACGTGATAAAGTCATGTGATGTATTTAATAAATGAAATTATTGATGATAGATTGTATTGTGAATCTATGAAATAGGCAGGTATATTATCCAATGGAACTCTGCTACTAATCAATAACCCATTCTGTTTGAAGGATAGGAGCCATTTGACTATGGAATTGACCTTGAACAAATGTCTCAAAGGTGTCAAGCAGGGGCACTAACACATATCTGGACTCTGCCTATCTGGGACAAATATGAAGAATACAATATTTAGATTTTAATAATATTTCTATATAAACAAATTAATTTGTAGTTTCTTGTGTTTGTTGAATGATAAACTTATTTTGAAGTATTTTACATATCTTAGGTCAAAAGAAAAAAAGTAACGATGATGACTTCAGCATCAACCTTAAGAATAACAGTCCTAATCGTATTATTGTGTGATGTGTGTGTTACAGATATATCTTGTAAGTACTTTTTTTATAGACATAATATTTAATTAGTCAATTGAGATTGACAATCTCACGTCCCTAATTTCTTATTTAGTAGCTATATATAAGTATTCATTACAATGACTAACATTTCTCAAAAATATTTAAAGTAACCTAAAAGCTTGGGTGTATCCTAATTAAGCAATACTTAACAAGTAATGTTGAGGAATATTTTAAAACTAAATTTTCTTAAATCACAATATTTTTTAAATAAAAACGCTTACCTGGATTATATAACCTTAAATATGTTACAGATATTGGTGTACCTGTTATTTGTATACCTGTTATTTATCTCTAGAATATAACAGATATTTGTTGTTCGCAACGCCAAGTTAACAAGTTAATGTGTTAAGTTAGTTAACAACAATGTTTTGCAAAAATATTGTAAGATATTTTGGGAATTAATTCATTGGCGGGGCTAAAAAAACAAGTATTACTCTATATTTACATTCCTAAATATTTACAATAATTACTTAAGCTAAGTTACCTAATATGCTATTAACGAATTTGATTTTATAGTTTAGCAATAAAATATTAAAACATTTAAAATTTAAGAGAGAGAGACAATAAAACTTAAATAAATTAACTTGGATTATAACGTAATATTGGAAGTGGCTTCTTATGATACTCATTTTTTTAAATCAGGAACAAATCAGATACTGACATAAATACTTGTACAGTGACCACACTGAGCTAACACAAACATGTTTCTGACAAGAATCTTTGCCTGAAATAGGAATAAAACCCGCGGTCCTCGGTTTAGTAATCAGGGCGCTAATCAATGCGCCATCGGGTGAAGCGTTGTCAAAAATTATGTCAAAACATTACTAGCAGGCTGCCAATCATGCTGCACATGCCAGCCATCTTAAATATATGAATCTATCGATATATGTTACTTAAGGTGATTACATTCTAAAGCTATTTACAATAATCCTATAATACCCTTGTAAATATATAGCTGAACTGACTTAGTTTTAAAAACGGTAATCTGTATTCTTTGCATAATAAAATCGACTCTTAATAAAAGGTTTCAATGTGAATCGCAACATAACGTATTTGAATGACATTTAGGGTTCCGTGTTAAATGTCAAAACGTAACCATTTTAGGTGCCAATGGTTCCCAAAAGATAATAGATTACCGAATTTAAAAATAAGTGTCTCAAACATTTAATCTAAACGTAAATAGAAGGCACATATCGTACCTTTGAAGCAGAGAAAAAGTCGTAAGATTTTCGCAGCGTAAAATTGATTTTAATCCTAAAATAAATGTATATTACTTTATAACTTTGTGACGTTCATTGTAATAGAAATGGTGTAATGGGAACAAGAATAAAAAGTGTTAGCTACACAGTCAATGTGAATTGTGTCCATACGTATTCTTAAATGTACAAAGAGACGGATAGGTTGTGTTGTGTAAAACATTACTCATAAGTATTATATTTCTAATTCATTAATAAATTGTCGATATATGTATTTTTTATATGAATAATAAAAAAAACGAAATATCATTTTGAATGTAGTTTGTGTTACGCTAAAATTGATTTCACAAATTCTCAAATTTGGCAGATGCGAATACTGATCGCGCACATCACAAATACACAAGCTTTAACTCGGCAAGTGAAATATAAAATTCCTATAATTAATTAAGTATCGATAGTAAAAAAGTGAGATTACTCATATCGTGTTTTTTTTTGTTTTTTTTTTTTCAATATTAAACCGCAGAGTTCTTGCCAATGATGGGGCCCCCGCTTGTCGCGTAGACCCGATGTCCATCAAATTCCACTGAGGAGTTTCGCTTCATTGCATCATCTGTGTCTTTCAACGGTTCCTTCTCATCCCTGTCAATATAAATTTTTAGATTAGATTCTCCTCTACAAACAAAAATAAACAGATAACTTTTTAGATATCTACAATCTCTATTTACAGTAATGCTTCTTAAATATTAAGTGTATAAACTATGGTAACGCTAAAATGAAAATTATTTCAGTCAAAGTGACAGATTTTATTCGAAATTTTACTATTTTTGTGTCAATTTATGTTGATATCAATGTAAAATGAAAGTTTATGTCACTTTAACTGAAACATTATTTGATGAGGTTAATTATTTTGACTTGAAGTGATGAGCGAATGAATATAGGGACAACAAGCATTTTATTTATTAAATAAGCATTTTAATTTTGCTAAAAAAAAGACAATCAAATAAATATACAATTTAAAACTACTTTTACGAATCGTCTGTGACCACGAAAACTGAAAAGTATTCGAAATGATTCAGTGAAAATAAGAAACGCGTGATTAAACCGTAAAAATAGTTTTGATTATAGACAATTTTAATAAAATGTGAATGAATCTTACACTGGCGTGGTTGGTATATAGCTAAACATGTGGTCGCAAAGGGCAGCGTGGGGGAAGAAAACATATATTCAAATTAGTGGATTGTGACAAAATAAACATTAAGAATTGCTTATGTTAAAAATGATTTATAAAACCGTCGTGTAATGGGAATGGTAATGTTTTGTGATCACTGTAAAACATGAATCGAAAAAACACAGAATATAAACGAAAAGTTGCCGTAAGAGATGTTCCGGAAGAGAACTTTTCTTATCTGAAAATAAACGATGTATTCAATCGCTGATAACGAGACATCCGCTTATCGAATATACGTTTTTAATACAAAATGTTCCTACGTTAAAGTTTAATACAAAATGATGCGCTACATAATTTTCTCGAACTACATTGACCACACCACTCAAAGCTTGGATCTCTTTTAAACAGTTTACATCGCTATTAAGAAAAACGCTAACTGCCAAGCTTAATTTGTATTTACATTCCGCTCAGCCCCAGCGAAAAGTTTTTTTCATACATACACCGTTGTTACATCGTGTCGAAACAGAATTTATATGTTTACGTCTCCTCACAAGGGCCGAACCACAGCGTCCGCACAAACAAAGCATGCAGGCAATCTCAAAGTTTGTTACGGCAGTGTATGATGCCTTACGTCGGAGTAGACACGAGCTTGACTGGTGGCGGGAGGGGCGCGGGGGACGGCGGCGCGCGCGGCTTCATGCTGCAATAAGGGAGCGGGAAGCGCCAACCGTACAGACTAACGGGCAGAAACATCTCTCATCGACACTAAGCCCTCATTCGCACGGGCGTTTTAAAAACGCTGCATTAATTTTTTTTTTCCTACCTAAGCACGTAGCAATGGTAACAGATAGCACAGTACACTATTCTGTATAGCATAGTAACCGGTACCATAATAAATATCTTCTTTTTTTTCGTACCTAAGAGATAGCCTTGAGAGGCTATTTCAGCGTAACCTTAACTAGTAGGTGAGCTCACGGGGCTCAAACCTGACGTTGCTAACACGAACCCTAGCAAGAGCCGTGCTTCGCAGAATCTAACACCGGATCGGAAACGCGACCCACTGAGAAGATCCGGCGAGAAACTCAGTGGGCTGGTTGCGTTAAAACTCGGCGTTGGCGCTTTTATAACGTTCTCGATGTGACGTAATCTGTAACGCCCAACGCTTAGCGCTCGAAATGAAACACTGCGCAATAAAAAAGCGTCGCGTTTTAAAAGCGCTGACGTATGAGCATATACTAGGAAATACATCTGTTATATTTGAACGCTTTTGAACGCCCGCTAAAAAAACTCCCGTGCGAATGAGGCCTAACACTTGTAGGTGGGAAAATGGAACAAGGAACACTGGGGTATAAGGTAACATAAAACAAGGTAAACAAGAAAGTCTGATGAAATTGTAGTCGGGAACAACAGGAGACAGTTATGATGTCGATGATGTGCAATTAAATGATATTTACGGTTCATATTATAATAATAAAAAAAAACCAGTTAACGTAAATTAGTTAAATAGAATCTTAGTCACGAAAATTTATAGTTCAAAGATAAAACTAATTACCTTCCCAATTTTGCTTCTTCGTCGTTGTGTTTCTTGGCGCGTTTGCCGCACAGGGTAGCAATCACGCCCTGTTTTCTGAAGCACAGCAGCAAGAGATCCACGATGAGAAGACAAATGATGACGCCAGCCAAAGACAGCCCTATAATTGCCCCGCTCGATAGAAGTTGCGCGTGAGCAAAACCAGAGCGTTCAACACCTGTAGAAATTGCCAATATTAGAAAAGTGACTACAATCCAAATTCAAGAGCAGTAGAATTACGCACCAAATGTTTTTCATTATAAATTTTTTATTAAGCATTGGGCAAACATCGACTGCTCTTTGTATCGTTAGTTTTATGCATCATGTAGAAGCTGAGGATGTTAGATGAATGAGTATGGAGTTGTAATAAACGTAATGCTATGCATAGTATTTTATTTCGATATATAACTATACAGCAAGCCTTTTTACATTAATTACGATCAATGTGAAAAATGGGGAGTGCTTCCAAATAATAAATTACGTGCACCCAATCACCAATAGCTACCGAAAGTGATTTCCAGAACGAGTATTGAAATGTGAATTCACAAACAGTAAGCACTTCGCTATCATGAAATGGGGTTTGAATGAAAAATAATGATGATGAATAATGTGAAATAAATGACACATAAATTTTTTAACCTAAATACTAATTATGAGAAAATAATAATAAGAAAAGTAAAGTTGTCAAGATGCAAACATTCCATAATATTTAATTTTTGCGAAATAAATGTTCAAACCCCATGACAATAGATCTTTTTTCTCTAAAGCATTAGCAAGATCTATTTAACTTGGGAATAAATTAACGTAAACATTATCTAAGGTCACTATTGCTCGGGGTCATGACAGCCATCACCTAAACTTTGTTTAAAACGTTGTAAGCGAAAATATAAAAATAATCGGTATATTTTCACTAAATTCACAAGAAAAACACCCTGTAATTAAAATTCAAATAAAAAAATCTAATATCTTTACTATTTCATGCATCAGAAAATAAAATACTGATAATTTTCATCCGAAATATCCTTATAATTTGTTTAATATAAAAATGAATTTGAATGGTAAATTAAAGATGCCTCAGGAAACTGACCGCCGATATCACATTTTGTTAATCACCGATGCATGGAACAAGCTAGTGGAAGAATGTGAAACAAACTCATCGAAGGGTGTATTAAATAGGTCATGCACAAATAGTTAATTAGTACATTCCAAAGAAAACTATGCAGCATCACTATGAACTAAATTAAGGGTTTCATATTTAATGTAAAAGATAATATTTACCCAATTCTCATGAGGGCGACACAACACACACTCGACAAACAGTCAACAGTTAGGGATTGGCTAATGGATTGGTTCCTTGATAAGCATCTTGACAGCTTTCTTTTGGTTAATATATTAATTTATTTATTAGTCTATTAATTATATATCTACTAAATAAAGGTCTGTGTATAAATCTGTGTATAAATTTTTCCTTTATGCGTTTTTATATAATTAATCGGATCATAAAAACTTGGGTGTACTGTTGTATATGGTTTAAATAAGCGGCACGCGAGTAATTTCAAACCACTGATACTATTCATACAATTAGCGGCACTAAGAACGAAGTGTGACTAGTTACATAATAATTTTTGTTACACTCAATAGTTTTTCTTTTCTTCAGATTTTAGAAATATTTTAATCGGATTAATTTATTTTTTAAATTTTCATGTATTTCAATACGGTACCGAGGAATTGCTGCAAATTGTATCACTTTGAATCAATAAAACAAAACTAACACATTTATTTTAGCGACAGAATAAATTAAGGATGTTGTTTTTCAAACATTTATTATGTTTCACATTGGTCTTTTTACTCAAACATCACAATCACTCACACTCCACAACAGTAGTAGTTATTGTATAATATCTAACCGCTTTTGTTTTTTCATTTAACCACTCAACATCTCAATGTTTACTAGTCTCTCAGATGATATCACCACTGGAACGTCTTACATTATTTTTAAAATACTTATATTATACCAAAAGGACAAAATACTCATCAAAAAATTCGTACACAAAAGTTTACTCTTAAATCTTAATCTATGCCTATATTGTGTAAGCCTTTTTAATTTTTGGCATTACATTATTTATTATTGCAAGGAAAATATTTTGAATTAAATGGCAGTGATAATTTTTATAGCCATATTACATATTAAAACTACTTGCGTTTTTCATTCTATGAACTTTCAATTAAAAAAATTGGCACAACAAATTTAAAATTTCAAAGATCTAAATTATTATATTTTTAATCATTGAATCAACACCGTTACGTATTTACAGACAAACAAATTATATTATCACAATAATTATTTCCTAAACAACAATAAGTCAACTTTGGACTTTGTTAGATATAATTTAGTGTTTTTTTATTTATTCAAACTAAGAATAATACAAGAACTGTAGCTATAATGTCCAGTTTAGTGTTTGCCCATCTCAAATAGCTGGGACATCCATTTGGGTTACCTAGAAAATATTTACTATTATTGTTAAATAAGCATTTTTATTTCAATTAAATAAAAATGAAATGAAATTTACAAAAAAAAATAAAAAATAAAAAAATGATGTTGTGAATAATAATAATCATAACTTACCATACACAATAATTTAACACTAACATAACAGGGCATTAATGAAGAAAATTTAAATAAACTAAATTTAGTAAATTAGCAATGAACTTAAAAACTAAAACATAGATCTCACAACTTAACTATGAATCAAAAACGAAAGTAAAATATTTTGTTATGGTTTATTTGTACCTTAATCTGTTTTTTTTTTTTGATGTAGTTAATTGGCAAGATCTCATTCTTAAATAAATCGAAAAAAGAAATAAAACGAAACTTAATTTAATTAAACAAATCAAAATAATCGAAAAAATAAACAATGGTTAATGATCAAACTGGTTAACAGCTCGCGTCTCATAGAATTGTACTTATCGAAGCGGCATAACCAATTTTAAAACTAATAAAAGTTTAGAATGCGAAAATATTTGTTCACACAGTTATTTATAATTACATGATCGAAAACCAACTGTCAGGAAGCGCACCGAAGCACTAACACAATTCGGAATCAGTAGCAGTTCACATAAACAAACACAATACAAAGGATGCGACGAAGGAACGAACATAATAGTTAGCGGTCGTAGCTGAGGAGGGCTTTAAAGGTTCAGACGCAGTGTAGACATCGTAGAATCCCGCCCGTAACGGCACTTCATTACTCTCTTTATTGTACTCACCAAGAGCAGTTTGGACGTACAGTTGGGCGGGCAGTGAGAAACCGAGCTGGTTATGGGCCCGCAGATGAATGCGGTAACGAGTGTCCGGATGTAGCCCTCTGACTTCGTATGTAATGGCTTCGAATGACTTAAGTTCTTGGGTAACGCACTCGTTTTCCGACGACACACGCCATTCGCCGCTTATCTTCAAAACCTGCGTCGAAAGGGTTAGCTTATTAAAGATCTATCAAATCATTTACGTACTCCAATTAATTGGAAGATTCACTTACCGGACAATAGCGGATTTCGTACATGTCAATAGGCTCCCCATTATGAGCGGGTATTTTCCACTTCAGTTCATATCTGTCTGCGTATTTTCCGTGAATAAGCGATTCCGAGCTAAGGTTCTCTCTCCATTTCGGCTGTTCTGGTGGTGACCTGAATCATAGTAAAGGTTATCAAAAAAAAAGGCAATGAATGCAAAAGGCTGTGATCAAAAATTCTACGCTTTACAGAACCAAAATAAAAAAAAGATTGTGTATTTTTTTTACCTTCTTGGCATGATAACCGTAATAGGAGATCCCCAACTACCAATGCCAACTTGATTAACTGCAGCGAATCTAAAGTCATAGGTAAACATTGGTCTCAAGTTTTCCACAGTGTATGGGGAATTAACCGACCACGTGCGGTTCTGTGCTAAGTTCCAGTCGAAGTTTGCATTTTCTTTGAATTGGGCAACATACGCCAAGATCGGCGGACCCATGTCTTCAGCAGGTCCAACAATATTGAAAGTAACTGAGGTTGCTGTGATAGTTTCTTGTCTTGCCTGAAAAAGTTTATTTTTAATATGATCAATAAAAGAAGCTTATATTTTGAGTCATCGCATTTGCTCTTGTAAGTTGAAGTGATGAAGTTACCTGTACAACAGGTCCGGGAGGAAAAGCTTCTCTGAACTGAATGACATGCTCTGCTTCTCCTAGAGTATTGGTAGCAACGCACTTGTATATTCCATACAGTCCACGATCCAGTGGCGTGATTGTGACATAGCTTATTGGGCCAGACCCAAAGATTTTGATATGGGGCGTTTCTACCAGATCAGCGTCACGGAACCTAATCCGTAAAAATTTAAGTCATTACTTACAAACTCTATTGTCGGAGATTTTGCATTGTAGTTAAATCTATGTATGTGTGTATGTATATATCTTTTGTGTATGTATTTGTAATTTATTTAATATAAATTTGATTGCACCTACCGCTATTTACTCTGCACTACCTTTGGTTGACTGGTAGAGAATGCCATAGGCATTAAGTCCGCCAATGTAAATTTTACATGAAGTGTAATAAATAAATAAAATAAATCTTAATACAGCATCGCTGTTTACCTCCACTTGATCGTAGCATTGGGAATACTCTCAGCGACGCACGTCAAATTTACAGTTTGCCCATTCCAACTCCAAATCGGTACTGTAGGCATTCTTTCAAAGGTTGGCCGGAACTGCACAGCCAAATGGCCGTTTCGCCAAGCTTCACCAGCTGGATAAAACAATTATATATTGTTCGTGCAAAAAAAACTTTGATCATTTAAATTAAATCAAGAAAACAGCTCACCATCGTTCTCAGCAATGCACTCGTATAAACCATCATCAGTTCTATTCAAGTTCGAAATCATGATTACTGCGCTAGATTCAATTTGATCTCCTGATTGATGACTGCTGGTCTCAATAGTAATCCTAAACAAAAATATTACGTTTAATGATATTAAAGAATGTCAAAAGTTTATCATTTACCAATTTCTTTATTTATTTAAAAAAATTGTTGTTGTGCTCACCTTCCACCATCATTTGGTCCATTAACAAAACGCTCACTATTGCTCCGCTTACGGAAACTAATGCGAGGTGCTGGACGACCAGTAGCTTTACACTCCAGTCTGCCTTCTTGTTTTTCGGGAGCAGTAGTATTGTAGAGTTCGAAAATCCTTGGCTTTACAAGTACTTCGACTTCTATTTCGGTTTCGTTTTGACCAGCCTTATTAACCGCACTGCAAATATACTTTCCGTAATCAGCGGCTTCGACTCTATCAAAAGTTAAGAGTCCAGTGTTTTCGTTAACGTTGAATCGTGATGTAGTAGCCAGGTTCTAAAAAAAATCAGAGAAGAGGGTTTATTTAGCGTTATTAGACGATATTAGTCCTGTGCCCAATTAGAGTTAAGCGATTAGTGAAGCCATTATATTTAAAATAGTTACATTCGCTAACAAAAAAGTAATGGTAAATTATTGTAATCTTACCTCGCGTGTCGAAGCTTTAATCCAAGTATAAGTCGGCGGCGGCTTTCCTCTCGCTTTGCAAGTAATTGCAGCTGATTCTCCCTCTTTGATTCTAACTGTCGTCTCTCGTTCTTCCATTTCTGGTGCGGTGTAAACCTATAAATTAATTAATTTTACACAATCAAATATTAGATGGATTTTCTTGATGTTCTACGAATCATTTACTCTGAACTTTTGTTCATCACATACCTCAAGTTTAATGTTCCTTTCCGCAAGTTCACCAGTTTGCATGACGACAGCTCGACAAGTATATGTACCATCATCACTTTCTTGAACGTTTTTAATCATTAGACCATTAGCGTGTATTACGTATCTGTCACCAGTTACGATCTGTTGAGTTGAAATTTATTATTAATAAAATCAGTTCTTGATTTATTTAAGTACTAGAGATATTTGAATATTGTTTGAGCTACTTACGGGATTTTCTTCTTTAAACCAATCTACTGATGGTGCAGGCTCGGCTGTAACCTCGCACATGACTTTAAAATCTTTGCCTTTGGTTGCATACTGGTTCTCATTAGCGTTGGTCCAAGTGATAGCAACTAAAAATGAACGAAATTAGAATATATACTATGTATTATTTTAGAAACATTTTTCTGGATTAATCTGGTGTCTACTTATGTTCATTTGGTGTTTATTTGAATTTTTTTAACGTTTCAAATATTTTGAGATTGACTACACAAACTGTTTTCAAGTGAAAACAAATAACAAAAGATATCAGTAATTTTATTTTTATAACTGTAATTTTTATTATATCATTCTAAATTTTAAAGTTTTTTTTGTGAATAGAGATGAAGGGTTTCTTTTATTTCAATTGCTATCACTGTAAATTCTCCTTACCAAATGTATCCAAAATAACGCTGGCGCTAAGAGGGATATTCGTGTAAGTAGCCTCACAGGAATAGTTTCCAGCCATTGCAGGCGTTATCGAGGATATATACAACAACTGAAGCTGTTTGGCAGGCATTGCTTCTGTGTATATTTCCGGACGAGTTCCAGCACTGTAAATTTAAAAACATTTTTGATTATATTGAAATGGCGGTTTTGGTCTTTCTATAGTATCTTTAGCGTATCTTTATAAGTTCTTATTGACAATATGCTGAAATGAACTTCTATAATGTAATTTTGAAAAGCACGGATTTGTTCATTGTGTGTCCACGCTGACAGACGACTTGTGGTTACGATCAAACTATTGCTTATGCTATTAACAAATTTCGGTAACTTCTTGACAGGCTGCTTGCTACTGTTCAATATATATAAATGCAATCTGCCGTTGTGAAAATTACAGTATATCTTCAGTCTACGATCTCTGCTTGCTCGTTTAATAGATCTCTAAGCAGTGAAGACAAGAAAGTCAGATGTTATGACACCCACCCGAGCGTGATTAAATAGCAAAGCACTTTCAAAATTAAGATGCTCCCCTTATTTGTGTACAGCGACATGTTCAGTTCAATCAGGTTTTAGATACTCACGCAGCTTCCATGATGATCTGTCCTTTCGGGTCCCTCCACTGTGGCTGTGTGACCAGTGCCGGATCAGGTGCATCAGCTTGACAGGTAAGTACAACAGACTTCCCAACTGCCACAGTCTGCTGTTTCGATATCGGAAGTATCCTCAGGTTTTGGGCTAGACAACCTGTCAATGCAAAGAAAGTACATTTAGACAGTGCATTATTTTAAATATTAACATATTGCCAAGGTATAAAGACGATTATTATACTAATTGGCATTAAATTATTTACGTAATACGGGTTTTACTATTAAATCTTCGTAATGGATTGCTTAACATTGAATAGTAAAAAGAAATTGAGTAACTAATTGATAATTTGGCCTTTGGATAAAGGTTTCACCCTAAAATGAAGACAGCCGAAATTGCAAAGGCAGCCCCTGTGCAAGTCTTTCATTAAGTCGGTCGCAATTTATTCATCGGCACGTGACGTACTTCATTAGGAAGACATCACACGCCTTCAACTATGTACTTAATCTGTACATTGTAAACAGTTTTTGTTTGTCTTCCTTTGCATTTGTACGCGTAGAGCGGCACATTGACCACATACATATATTCGAATATAGTTTTCAACCCTTTGACTGTTATGTAGGTCACCGGTGCCCTACTACGTGGCGCACTGAAGTTTTTATGTCGACTTCTGTTATTAATGCACCGGAATATCTAGTAGACTCGGAGAAAGACGAATCCGAAGATACTGACAGTGGATCTAAGTCTCAGAGACCTAAATAACTAAAAAGATCCAAAAAAAGTGGGTGTGTGTAAGTCACACACGGTAGAAATTTAACTTATAAATAAGATATAGATATACTGACTACCCCACTACACAGGAGCATACATATGGACAATATTTAGTAGACGATAGTGGGGATGCTACGAAAAGTCACACAAAGAGGAGACCGAGACCGAATCCTGATCATGCAGGAGCCAGTCACCGTCGACGCCCTAGACACGTCCTTACGGATCCATCAGATCCAATAACCTTTGCATTAGATGCCTTCAGCTCTAATACTAGGAGCAGGCTTAGGGACCCCAGTAACCGTACTCGTCGAACTCGACAAAGAGGTCGACGTGCAACCTAGCCCATGCATCAGCCCGCTGAGTTTCNGGAGGAAATGTCCAACTTTTCTCCCTTGGTACACAATATACTATTCTACCCAATTTGGCTCAGAGCTCGCCCTATACATATCCCTTAAAATTATTTCACAGCCATCAGTCATACGTCACGTAAAGCATCCAGATCAAAGGTACCCGGAGACAAACAAACCGACAGAATTAATAAATTCATTTAATATCATATTTTTATTTTCCATGCTCAAGAACGAAACCAATGTGAGTTTATCGTTTATGAGCTGTGAACTGTGAGCACTCTTGAACGTAGCTTCATGGTCGACAAATTACGCATATTAAACGACTTTTTTAATTTGACAGTCAGTCTAGGATCTTGAAACTCTGCAGGTCATCTGCGGATTCAATTAATGTTTTGTATTACTTTGCTGAAAGCGAGATGAGAACTGCNCCTTCAGCTCTAATACTAGGAGCAGGCTTAGGGACCCCAGTAACCGTACTCGTCGAACTCGACAAAGAGGTCGACGTGCAACCTAGCCCATGCATCAGCCCGCTGAGTTTCTCGCCGGATCTTCTCAGCGGGTCGCGATTCCGATCCGGTAGTAGATTCATTCGCGAAGCAATTGCTCTTGAGTTGTTAGGTCTCCTTCAGAGGCGCTCGGGCAGCTGTTAGCAAATCCCACCCCTCCTGGCTGAGCCTTTGCTCGCCCACCTGTCCTGGTGAAACTGGAAAGGCCTTCGGACCACCAGTAATCTCTCAATCATAAAAAAAAAAGGAGACCGAGAACGTCTAATGTGTTCTATCTCATTCTCTCGCCAGCTGAATCCTATACATCTATGTGTTTGTGTCTCTATGGACTCTATGGAGTTTGAAATCACAACGATTCTAAAGAAGTTTCACTTCAACAAAGGGAGGCAAAATTAGGCAATCCAGGTGCTTAGTAACAGAAATTGACATAATCATTTCAGTGCGCCACGTAGGGCACTGGTGAGATACATTGCAGTCGAAGAGTTAAGTACTTTCAACTACTAGTGGTCACGTAGTAGTTGAAATTCGACTATAATTAATTAAAATTATAAGTTTGAACATTATTTGGGTTCTATTGTCAAAGACAATATTCTATAATCACAAATTTCGCCAAGAATACACTATTATACAGAAGAATAATATTCAAGACCAACAATATTAATCTTTTCTCAATTTGACCAGAGACTAACAATAAACTAAAATTATATGAGTGTGTTGTTTGTGTCAGATACATGGTAGTGTGCGTAATGTTTATTTTTATTGATTTAATGTATTTTTATGCACAAATTATGCACTTCTTACTTTATAAGTATGGGAAATTTCAAACTTCTTCGTCCACGCATTTTTCGTAATAAGGGGTACAAATTTTTAGAGCTTCACGTATTAATATACCGATATATAGCCCGCGATAGCCTGTCATAGTTCTGACGTAGATCGAGAGTAACTACTCGCTAACAAAATCTATCGAGTTAAAAAAATATTCATCATTTCTTCACAAAAGGTTGTGCTCTGTATGTTTAACAAATATATTTTAAAGTAAACGCCAGTGTAGATAGTACATGTAATGTAAATAATAATATAAATCCTGTGTATTTAGGTTCTATTCTAGAATAACAAGCTTACTGTCTAGAGTATCGAATTATTTGAACGAGTATTTTTGATATTTCAAACAAAAACTATTTAAAAAGTTTGATTGTTTTCATTATTCGAAGCACAAAACAAAGTCAAATGTACTATAATAACTTTATATTACATATCTGAAATGAATTAGGTTTTGTTTGCCATTTAAACGAAGATTTCGGGCATAGTGCCATAACCGTAATATGGGTGGTTGACAATTAGGTTTAAAGTAATAGCTATATATTGTTTAGCAAAATCACAGCAATCTGTAACCAGGTGTTGACTAGTTGATCAAATGACATCAACGAAAAGTTAACGACGGGTCAACAATAAAGGCTTTGTCAAACAGAACGCGTAATTAGCGCGCGTCTTAGCGCGGCGTTAGTTTAGCGCTCTGACGCGCGCTAAGTACGCGTTCTGTTTGACGAAGCCTTATGAGATGTGCGTAATACGTCGGATAAGTCCATCATTCAACGAATAAAGAAAACGTAAAGCCATTACCGATCGTATCAATAACGATAGTCCGAAATATCAGTTGCACTTTTTAGTGATACTCGTCTGCTTCAATTTTGTTTGTTGGATAACTGGTGGTAGGACCTCTTGTGAGTCCGTGCGGGTGTGTACCAACACCTTGCCTATTTCTTCTGTGGAGCAGTAATGCGTTTCGGTTTGAAGGGTGGGGCAGCCGTTCTAACTATACTTCAGAGCTTGGAATTTGTGTCTCAGAGTGGGTGGCGCATTTACTTTGTGGATGTCTATGGGCTAAAGTAACCACTTAACACCTAACATAGAAGCAAAAAATAATAATAATAATAATGCATTTTAATATGTCGGAATTTATTTAAACAAAGTCTTTTCTCTATAAGGCACTAATCTTTTCTTGCTTCATCGCAGCCACATTCGTAAGATAACTAAATAAATTACATAGCTTTCAGATTTCGTCTTCATCTAAACAGATTCTAGTGTCGTCCAAGCTTTTCATATTAAAAAACGCCTTTCCGTACTTCGTTTGTGACATGAAATTTTCGAGAAAGTTCCGAGCGTCATGAATAATTCACTGTCAAGAAGAAACAAGAAGCCTGTTATTTAACAACTGAATATCACGTACATATAGGTATAATAATATATTAAAATTGTGTTGAAGTTATTAGATGGAAAACTTCTTTTTGTTAATTTTTTGGGGTATCTAATTCGCATTAAGAGTAGCTATAAGTTTTTGTCATATTAGAAAATATGAAAGTAATTAATTTCGGGATTTAAAATAAATGTTTCTCAATGCGTGGTTTTCTAATTTGTATAACTCACGTAAAATTTACATCACTATTCAATAATATGCATTTTCCGTTTAGTATGAAATTGTTATATAGGTTATAAATTGTATTATTAGGTATCGTCAATTCAAAACGCAATTGTATCTTGTTTTATTAACAATGTAGGTACACACTACATTGTAATCAGACTGCTAATAAAATAAGAACTCGTGAACTTTCACGCTACGCTAATGATCTCTTTCTGAAAAATTATACAGATGGTATAAACTCTGATTCAAAAAGTTCAAAGATCGAGGACGGTACCACAAAGCCGCATATGCTATAATCATAAACCTTCTTTTATTCCACAGGCAGCGGTCAGCATAACAAGTACGCATGTTATGGTTTCATTTGGCAGTTTTACGGCTCGACCGCTTGTATTTCTTACGTCAACCCTTCCTAAAACAGGTACACCTTTTTCTATCATTATCATCGTCTTAAGCCTTACAGTTACAGCCTTAGCCTGGTTTTTTTTATTGCTTAGATGGGTGGACGAGCTCACAGCCCACCTGATGTTAAATGGTTACTGGACCCCATAGATATCTACAACGTAAATGCGCCACCTACCTTGAGATAAGTTCTAAGGTCTCAGTATAGTTGCCACGGCTACGTCACCCTTCAAACCGAAACGCATTTCTGCTTCACGGCAGAAATAGGCAGGGTGGTGGTACCTACACATGCGGACTCACGAGTGGTCCTACCACCAGTAAGAGGTCCAGTCCGTCTCTCCAAATTAATTCAAAATTTTCTAGGTCTGGTATAAATCACTAGACTATCACTCCATGCGTTTAAAGCTTCGATCAATAATACTACTAGATTCGCGATTAGCGCTTCAAAAGCGGCCCGAAAAATAAGACCACAAATAAATTTGTGGTCTTATTTCAAATTAGTATGGTCCAATCATAGCCAACACTAAGACGTCAAAACGCTGCAATGCGCGTTCAAAAACTGAGTAAAAAACCACCGTAACACCAAGGTTTTGGAAGGAATATCTTTTTNGAAAGGACCTAAATACATATATTTTGCAATGGTAATTAAACTTTATGTTTAAGTATTAAGGTTTATAATAAACTGAAGTCGTTAACATTATTAAACTTTTTTCT